TTAGAAAGAATTAGAAGGTATTTATTAGAATAATTCCTTAAGTACTGGTGAATTAAGCAAATAAGATGATGCTGAATTGAAGAGTATCTTAGAAGTCTTCATCCCAGAAGCCGGTCTTGCTATGAAATAATGATCAATTACAAATAATAATACAATATATAAAATAATAATTTATAAGTACATAAACTTTAATTTCACAAATTTTATTACACTTTAAATTCTTTATTTGTGATTGTGAGAAATTTTCAATCATTTAAATCTAATTCTTGAGAAAGTCTAAAAATATAAGATATATTGCTTATTCATAAAAAAAGTATTAAAAATTAATATGATGAATTAATCAAGAAATATTTGTTAATTAACAAACATATTTGATATAAAAAATTTAATTAAATTACAATTCTTTATATAGAAGGAGATAGAATATTTTTGATATAATGAAGAATCTCTTATTTTTATGATAAGATTATATATAATCTAATTTAATCTGTAATATTTTTAGTTATCAAGTCTCCAAAGTTGATTTGATTATAACCTTATTGTTCTAAAGTTATTCTAACTTGTTCATACGTTAGTTTATTTTATTTTACATTATTTGATAATCTTAAGAACATGGGCATGATTTTCTAAATTGATAAATTTGATGTGTCATCTTTATATAATCCTTTCCCAATTGTTACTATTTAAGAATGAGATTTATATATAATTAGTATTTTCTAGAAAATAATAAATGATAGTGCGCAATAACAAGATATTAAGTAGAAATAATTAGTATATAAAAATTTCATACAAAAGGTAATGGATACACGTCTCATGAATTAAATAAATAAATGAGCAAATATATTTATACATTTGGTGATGGCAAAGCTGAAGGCAGTGCAGCTATGAAGAATCTTTTGGGAGGCAAAGGATCAGGATTAGCAGAAATGAATCTTATTGGTATTCCTGTACCCCCAGGCTTCACAATTACAACAGAAGCTTGCAATTTATACACTAAAAATGGTGCAGAAAACACTTTCGCTCTCATCAAGGCTGATGTTGAAAAAGCACTTCATCAAGTTGAAGAATTGACCAAGATGGAATTTGGCTCAGCTGAAAATCCTTTACTTGTTTCTGTTAGATCTGGTGCTAGAGTTTCTATGCCTGGTATGATGGACACCATTCTTAATTTGGGATTAAATGATGTCTCAGTTGAAGGATTGAGCAAGAGAACAAATAACCCAAGATTTGCATGGGATTCTTATAGAAGATTCATTCAAATGTTCAGTGACATTGTTTTGGATATGAAACCAACAACTAAAGAAGACATCGATCCATTTGAAGAAATCATCGAAGGTGTCAAACATGCTAAAGGAGTTAAATAAGATACCGAACTTGATGTTGATGATCTTAAGACACTCGTTACCAAGTACAAGGAAGCTGTAAAAACTAAAACAGGAAAAGATTTCCCATAAGAACCATAATAATAATTATGGAGAGCTATTTAAGCTGTATTTGATAGTTGGAACAATGACAGAGCTAAATATTATAGAATTCTTAACAAGATTCCTGAAGATTGGGGAACTGCAGTTAATGTCTAAGCTATGGTTTTCGGTAATATGGGAAATACATCAGCAACAGGAGTTGGATTCACTAGAGATGCATCTACAGGAGAAAATATTTTCAATGGAGAATATTTGATTAATGCTTAAGGAGAAGATGTCGTTGCAGGTATCAGAACACCATAATAAATCACTTTGGTTGGATCAAAAAGATGGGCTGAATTATAAGGAGTTCCTGAAGAAGTCAGAAAAGCCTAATTCCCATCATTGGAGGAATCATTACCAGAAACTTATTAAGAATTGAAGAATGTCTAAGAGAAATTAGAATAACACTTCAAAGATATGTAAGATATTGAATTCACTATTCAAAATGGAAAATTATGGTTATTATAATGCAGAAATGGTAAAAGAACAGGTGCTGCCATGGTTTAAATTGCTTGTGATTTATTCAGAGAAGGAAAGATTGATGAAAAGACAGCTCTTAAGAGAATTGAACCAAATAAATTAGATGAATTATTACATCCAATTTTCACTCCAGAAGCTTTGAAAACAGCTAAATTTGTTGCTAAAGGTTTACCAGCATCTCCAGGTGCAGCTTCAGGATAAATTGTTTTCTTTGCTGATGAAGCTAAGAAATTTGCTCAAAGTATTTTAGTAAGAATTGAAACATCTCCAGAAGATTTGGAAGGTATGAACATTGCTAGAGGTATTTTGACAGCTAGAGGAGGTATGACTTCTCATGCTGCTGTCGTTGCAAGAGGAATGGGTAAATGTTGTGTTTGTGGTGCTGGATCATTAAATATCAATTATAAATAAAGAACACTTGAAGTTAATGGAAAAGTTTATGCTGAAGGTGATTGGATTTCATTGAATGGATCAACAGGAGATGTCTTTGAAGGAAAATTATAAACATAAGAAGCATAACTCAGTGGAGATTTTGGTTTGATTATGGATTGGGCTGAAAAATATACAAGAATGTATGTTAGAACTAATGCAGATACACCAAAAGATGC